ATAATGAAATTTAGTAAATCAAATTATTATTTGTGGATTTTATTTATTAAATCATTAAGAACATAATCTCAAAACAAAATTTAATGACAAGAAAGATCGACGTTTCGGGTCCATCATGGAAACATTCTCAAGATCAAGTAAATTGAAAAAACTAAAAACAAAAATGCCAAGCAGTGACAGGAAGTAAGTAATTAATTTACATATCAATAGGGCCTACTGTGTGGAGCCACAATGGAGCTAAGCAATAATTAGCCATTTAACTAGATAAACAGTTTGGCTTTGACTGAATCAGTTTGTTTGTTAAGTGTAGTTTTCAGTTCTTTGATCCAAAGCATTTCTTTAAATAAACTTGGATTTGCACTTAGATAAAACCTTGAAATAATTAACAGTTTCAGTAGCACTAATATAATGATCTTTTAAATGTTGTCCTATGTTACCTTACTGTGCATAATCATTTCTTATTTAAAATAGAATTATTAATTCAATCAGTAACTTGTGTTTTTTTAAATGAAATTAATGATTTTTTTAAAAAAGATACTACCCAAGGCGAGACTTTTTTTATACCTTGTTTGACAAACTCGCTGACTATTGTACATTTTACTGTACTGTTTTTCCGTTTTAAAATGTTTGTGCTTGTTAGCAATTTAGATTTGTTGTTGATGTTATCCATGACAGTAATACGTACCGCGAAATGCCAGACCTCTGAAAGTCCCCATCGTTGGTATTCGCCACGTTATTGGAAATTTTTATTTCAAATTTCGCGAAAATGGTTTATAACATTCCCTGCAAGTTCGTTGTTCAAAACTGGTGCCGAATCAATGTTTTAGAGCCTCCCATCAGAGCCATTAATAATAATAATAATTCTAATAATTTGCCGCAAATATAGTAATAATATCTAATAATATTAATAATTTAAAAAAATACTTAGACCTACTCCCAGAGCTACTCAGAGGAGCTAAAAACTAATTTATTTTAGTTCTCAAATATGCATATTCTTTATGTTGATTTATTAATTAAATTTTTGCCACAAGGTATTTTACAACATTTGTTTATTTTATTTTTTTCTTTAATTTTATAATTGAGGGCCATTTTTTATTTCTTGATTCAATTCTTGCTTATACAGTATTTAAATATTTGAAGATTAAAAAAAATATATATC